GAGTAGATTATCAGCAATCTGATGGTAAAGACTCGTTTCAGGGTGCTCACCAAGTACTGAAGAGGCCATCTCACAGTGCACGTTAGAGTAAACAGATTCAAGCGTCCCACACTAAACTAGGACAAGACTTATTCTAATAAAGCTGGAAAAACTTCCCGGGAATGAGGCTGAGGCACATTCACTGTTGCATCAGTGTGAATATGTGTGCACGAGTGCGCATGCCTGCCTGCGTATGTGTTTTTGTGTACTTCTCCTGCGCCAAATAGTATTAACCTGCAGGAATGGAGGGCAGCTTTTTGGGCTCACCTGGTTTATTTCAGGCTGTTCTGTGGGGCTTTATAGAGGCTAAAAATACAACATGTTATAATGGAGGAAGTTTTTAAGGGCTGGATGTTGGCTCGGTAAATACTCCAGGCAAACGTCCATGTGAGGACGTAGGGATAGCTCGTCTGTTTAGAGTTTAAATAAACCGAGCTGGGGACACAGGAGCTGCATATAGTGATTTAGTATAGAATGAAGCAGCGCTGATGTCTGGAGCCGTTTTTTCAGTGAGATGCACCCTCGGTGATGATGAGGTGTTTTAATAGCTATTTCAGATGTTTATTTAAGTGCTGGCAATATCCCATCTTTATAAACAGTAAGAATAGAGGGAAGCATTCGTGGAAACTAATGATGCAGCCGTGGCAAACAGCTAATCTTTCTGCTTAAGTTTCTCAGCTAGGTCTGGAAAATGCTCTGCAGTTGGCATGTAGTGCATAACCAGAAGCTATTTTCTCTGGAATTACTCAGAAGCACAGAAGATGTTTACGAATGAAACAGTATATTTCATTTTAAGGTTATGTTGAGGCTGAACATGCTAGACGGGGGGGTGGGGGGGCAGTGGCATAGGTGTGTCAGAAGTAGAGAGCGGTGCTGTGATGTGGCTGACGGGACTCAACACCACGCTATTAAACACTCCAAAAGCAATGCAGAGTTACTCCAACACTCCGCGTACACAGTTTTTCCATCCTGGGAATTTGAGGCAGAAGTACCTCAAGGTTTAATTGTTAGTAAAAAAAATCATTTTGTGTCTGCCTGCCTCCTGTCTCTCTTGCTGTGACTTGTAACCAGGAATCTGCCTTTGGTCATGTAAGCATGAGCACTGAGGAGGCCTGTTGCCTAGACGCCCAGCTGACGAAGCAGCTACACTGTTGCAACAAACACATTCGTTACATTCTGAGAAACATTTAGATTTTATGGAAATGTTTGTATTTAACTTTCCACAGGTTCAGATGAGACAACAAAAGGCCAAAAGCTCCAGTAGCATGTTAACTTAGCACACTTTGCACAACTATAGGAAGCGGAGGTAGTTCCAGTACACTGTGTCTTTGCACTTGACGAGAGGTCAAAGTGACTTTATGATCTTTATATACAGTGCTGCACAATATCATTGCTCATTTCAGTTAAAGCATAAGCAACAGACTTTTTAGCCGGACAGTTATAATAAAACAACAGAAGAAGAAGCATCAGAAGCTACTTTCAGTTGTTGCCTTATTCACAAAGGTTTGATTTTAGGCCAGATGCCCTTCCAGACTTTTTTCTTCTCACAGGATCAGTCTGGTAAACAAATGCATAAGCCACTACTGCTAATATACTAATAGTAACGTAATTTATTACAATAATTTTATTTACAAAAAGAACAGGAAATGATATATGCAGAATAATACTATAAATTATTTTGCAGTGATTTTCCTTCCATGCTTCACTGTGTTCACTAATGCCACAGCACTTTGTCACAGCTGCTGATATACAAAAGTCAAACTGTGTCACTAGCAGCTGACAGCGACTGACCTTGGCATGTCCTTTCATCCGTGAGAAGTTTGTGGCCTTTTTGGCAGCTGCACTCAAAGGAGCCCACAGTGTTTCGGCAGAAGTGGTCACAGCCTCCGTTATTTTCCTGGCATTCATCGATGTCTGGGCAGAAAAAATGAAAAGAGAAAGGCAGCAAAACTTTGTGTCAGAACTGAACTTGTGATTTATGAAATGTGACTTGAGTCATAAAATTAGATGTAACATTATCTACACCTACTTTCAGTACCATTGATATTAATTTATAGTAGTTGTCAAACAGCTAACAGATCATCTGCAGAGGAATGGTTTATTTGAAGAGTTTCAGTCAGGTTTCAGAG